AGCAAAAAACAGATCTGGCACATTTTCCAGTGCCTTTAATGATATCATTCTGTTCTCTGTAACACTTTCCAAGAAGAGATTTTTATTGTGGAAGGTGAGGGTTCAGTTTCTGCTCTGACACCAGCCCTTCCTACATCAACCCCCTACTTTTTTTGTTGCGTTAATTCATGTTGTCTTGTCCAGCAGATTGCAAACAGATCTCGTATCTGAGGCCACCATCTTTTCTGTGTTTACAGAGCTATCAAAATTTAGGACTGAGTTTTAGGAAAGGTTGAGATGGAATGGCATATAGAGAACTATAACGCAGATGTTTGCAAAACTGGCTGAAGATAAGCTCTAGTAAATGATTTGGTGATCACTTATACAGCAGAAATCATTGATAATGTCATCAAGTAAACATAAAAGAGGTCAGTAAATGTCAGACAAAGTTCCAATTTTGAGCAATGCTTCTCTCACAGTCTTCTTGATAATAATAATGATTGATTTTTCACATTCCCATTTGGGGAGCCTTCAGAGGTATTGATCAGGTTGCTGTGCCACACTTTCAGCCCTCACTTATGACAATAGAATTGCCTGCATAGAGTCTTTATGTAGAGATTACAGATGTATATAGATATAGGGGTCTTTCATACTAGTATATATGCAGCATTTAGGAAAAATGACACTCTCTAACTCCTACTTCAAGAAAATACTCAGGCATCCAAAAAAATAATATCCTCAGATAAAACCTAGGGACATAAATGCACTTTATCAAGCTTCATGGTTTACTGGAGAGAGAAAATACCCTTCTTTCAGAAAATAATCCCATTGTAACTCCATTTTTGTAGCCTACAGATAATTTGCACATGCATATACACAACGGAACACACAATCCCTCAGAAAGCCATAGAAGAAAACACAGGGGTCTGTAACTATTCACATCAAGAGAGCAGCCAAGGGGAAGTCAGCACATTTGGGATTAACATGCTGCATTTTCTGAGGCCAAGCTAACCAGAGAAATAGGCTAAATGTCTCTTCTTCACCTCTCTCACAGCTAGTTCTCAAGATAATTCCCATGGATATTACTTTATTCCTACTAGTGTGAAAAAAGTGAAGATCTTTGCACAAAGGCCAGTGCAACACTGGGCACACACTTGCTTTATTTTGATATAGGAGATGATGGCGAAAAGTCAACAGAAATTACCAGACCAGATCCCATCATTACCTGGAAGGACTTCCAGAAGACCATGCCCTGGGAGATTGTAGTGTTGGTTGGAGGGGGTTATGCCTTAGCAGCTGGATGCAAGGTACTTATTTAAATTTTATCCTCCTTCCTAAAACAACTATAAATCTGGACTTCTATCAATTTGCATGCTCTCCGGTTTGGAATTACAATGTGGATACTTCCAAGTTTGCATGTAACCTAGCCCTTACTCCCTACGGTCAATGGAGAGCTATCTAGCTAACAAGATGATGGTCAGGGCTCAAGTCAATTCTGTAAGCATAGGCATCTACTGCCATTTCAGATGCTTTAGAATATCCAGTTATTCTGGCAAGGCTGGCAGACATGACACAGGATCTGAGAGAGACCTCACGCTTTCTCAATTAGCAGCTAACCAGACAGAGGGGGAACATCTCAGCTGCCACTGGATGCTCCTTTTCAGGCAACTGGGTTGATGGGACAAATCATGCTCTAGGCTCTACCCACTACTATACATTCAATGTACTTTGTGACTACACATCCAGCTCTCCTATAGATTCCTACATGTAGACAAATAAATTTGTGTATTATAACTTCAAAATGAATTCTACCCAGACTGTGCAATCCTTCAGCACCAATTTGCAACACTCCAGCTCACATGCTGATGTAAAAGGGAAGATCGGCCTTGGTGACTATTCATGTCATTAACTGCCAAATGTATTTCTTTGTTACTATGGACCACTACATATTAGGCTCTGCAGTGAAATCCAGCTTACTGAACAAAAGAAAATGCAGAAAGCATCGACCTAAACTTTGTTTATTTGCTGGTGGGATTCTCTGACGCAAACTGCCCCAAAGAGAAGAATCTGTTTTACAAACATACCAAGTATTTAGTCATTCTTCTACTTCTGTCCTTTCCCCAGACCTCTGGCCTCTCTACATGGATTGGACGCCAAATGCTCTCCCTCAGCAGCCTTCCCTACTGGGCTGTAACTCTGCTGGCCTGCATTTTGGTGTCCCTGGTAACAGAGTTTGTTAGCAATCCAGCAACAATAACCATCTTTCTGCCTATTTTATGCAGCATGGTGAGTAAAAACAATGACATTTTTAGTCTGTTGTTTCCTGATATGCTTGTGGGAATGTTTCAGGATGTCAAGGTACTGGCACTCAGATCACATGAAACCCAGCCTCAGCTCCCAAGCTACTGTTCTGCAGTCTCGGGTTTAGGAAAATTTATAAACTTGGGCAGCCAAAAGCCTATTTTAACATCAATAAATGTATTCAATACCTCTCAGAAAAAGTAAAAACATAGCTCCTGTGCTGAGGGATGCACAGTCTAAGCTAGCAGTCACCCTCTCACTACTTGTAAGAAAAGACTGTAAGCAGTGAATTTTCTAACAGACTAAAATGTGCTCAAGGGGGTGATATGGTAAGCATGCCACCATCCAACATGGAAAGCAGAGATGTTTGTAAGGGATGAAAAAAAACAAAAGACTGGTGACCGAGGCAGAGGAAAGAGATACAAATTTCATTCTACATTGGAATAGCAGTTACAGAAAACTGTCTTATTTCCTTTCTTTTAAGTAATATGAAACTTTTCTTACCAAGAATGCAGGTCATTAATCAAGTTTCCCTATTCTAATAATTTTATGGGATTGTCCCAAAATACGTTATGAGAACAGTTCCGAGGCAATATGAAGATACGGTCAGATGAAAATAAGTAATTATGTTTGTACGGTTTGTGAGTTCAAATATACCTGTTCTCCATGCAGAAAGAGAAATTTTGAGCAGTAATCTACTTGTAGTAGTCTGAACCGCCATCTTCAGGCAGTCGCTCTTTTTTAACTGTAAAAGTAACCTGGAGACACTTCCCTCTCCAAAATGAAGTTAGCCTTGTGAATACCCTTCCCTTGCCTTCTCACATAAAACTAGGCCATAGCAATGTAAATGAAAATACAAAATTTCACCACTACTGAAGGCTACAGTGGAAGAACAATTCTCTAAACCACTGTAAAGAATATTGCATTATCACTGCCTTCTTGCCATGCCAGTTTGGACCACAACTAGTTTTCTTAACCACCATTCAGGAGGAATTTACATAAGGGTCTCAACTGAAAGAAGTGACTTCTTCACATCAACCTGTTGTGACTTTTCTTGGATGAAGACTGAAGTGGTAGTCAGTGTTAAGACCCAGAAGACACAACACAGAATGACACAGAGAACAAGTGGGAGAAAGAGTAAAGGTGGCCTAATAGTAGCAATCTCCACCCTCCCTCAGTGTGAAATGTCTCAAGAGAAATGCCTGGAGCATGACCAGCTCCAATTTATAGCAGTACTCTAAAAAAAACCAAGCCAAAAAGACTTCCATGCTTAAGTTTAGACACTCGGGAGGTGAGATTCACAGAATCTTATCTTCACATAAAGCAGAGAGGGTCTTTTCATCCTAATTGTGAGCAGTGGCATTTATTGATTAAGTAAAACACCTCTCTCCCTCTCTCCTTCCAGTCAGAAACCCTGCTTATCAACCCTTTATACACCCTGATTCCTGTCACCATGTGTATCTCCTTTGCGGTGATGCTGCCAGTGGGTAATCCTCCTAATGCCATTGTCTTCAGTTATGGGCACTGCCAGATTAAAGATATGGTGAGTCTTGACATCGGGCATATCCTCCCATGCTTCATGCAACTTCAACACCTTGTGCCCACATTCAGCAGCCAATAACAATAATGATGATATTGCTGCTAATATAAAGTCGTATTGATCTGCACTGCTGTTTCGCAACAAAGATGTCAGGTTAAGAACATCCACACATCTGCTGCAGGATACGCACATTTCTCATCTATTTTTTATGAATGTAGTGGTCTAAAGAGGTATGAAAGAACAGGAGTACACAATCCTTGGCATCAACTGTTACGACAAGCACAGGAGAGCATGAAAAATTAGATTTATCACATAGCTCCACAGTAAGTCATGTAGTTCTCACCTTGCTATGTGTGGTACAGCACCCCATTCTGATTATTTGATTGAGAGGTTCAAGTGACAAACTGAGCAGTTTTCCAATGAGCTGCATCAACCTCTGACTATCACTCCCGAATACTCCCCCATCGTGTAGTCCAATACATAACACTCCTTGTGCCTTTTTGGCTCTAGAAATCAGTATGCATAATTTACCACTATATATACGTCAATATACATACAGACACACACCCTACTGCCTTCTTTTTTCCATGTTAACTGTTTTTGATCAAGTTGTCATTGATTGTGGTCTGATGCATTTTGCTTTTGTAGGTGAAAGCTGGCCTGGGCGTAAACCTGATTGGCCTGGTTGTTGTCATGGTGGCAATCAACACTTGGGGAATTAGACTCTTCCAGCTGAATACTTTTCCAGAATGGGCAGCAGTTGGCAACATCACTAGCCAGACATAACCTCCAATGAAAAAAAAAAAGAATAAAAGAAAAAAGTGCAAGACCAAAGCAAGTTGGGACAAAATATTAAACCTACATTGCACATATGAATGAGAAAATTTGTTTATACATAGAACAAGGATCCACAGCAAAACCACGAAGAAAACCCACAGGGAGGTCTTCTGCAGAAGGTTTTCAGTTCTGAAAATCAGTGTGAGTTAAAAGGAGAGATCAGCTTCGCTCTATTGCTGTTTTCCCTGTGACACTGGAACTCTGAAAAAAACTTCTCCTCCAAATTCTCTGGCTATGGCCTTTTCATGCCCTGGAACAATTATGTAGGTTTTGTAAAACAGGGGATATAGGATTCCAATGACAGAAGACAGGTATACACACACACTGGTGTACTCAGTGGTAGGATATTCAGTCCCACCATGGACTCCAAAAGTGAAGGAAGGGTGAGTCTTCTTTCCAAACCCAGAATTTTATAAGTCTACTTCTTTAAAGGAAAATTATTATTATTCTTTTGTGGTGACTCATCACTGTGTCGGAAAAAAACACTTTGCCACCTAAGCCATAAGGCCTGGAAAGAAATACAGCTGCCACCTAACAGCTACAGCACTTCAAAGGGATAACAGAAACCACCGAACAGGTACAAAGCAGAAGTCTCCTGGGAAGCAGAATGGTTTATTTTCCCCACAGCACTAATATAAAGTTTCCAATATTGCAGTACTTGCAATCTCTGCTTTGGAAGAAAGACCTTCAGAAACAGATAGAAAGTTTTGTTCGTTACCTTCTTTCCTTATCATTGTATTGCAGTGGGAGCTTTTTCAGCAGGGAAAGCTGTGACCAGCAAAACTTTACCAGGCCAACATGTCCATTGCTCTCCTCTCTCTTTGGCTGCTGCTTAGATACGCAGTTACAATGCCCCTGACAGAGAAAGTACAATCTCATACAAGCTGGCACTCAGTGCTGCTCCATGAGTAAGAAGGGAGAGGGCTGAAGCGGAGCGGTGCTGGTGTATCTCCTCATCGTGCGCGTTCACTTGACCATCACGCCCACCTGCTCTCTAGCAGCCCAGAGAACAGGAACTTCAAGTGTAGGAAACCGTGACATAGAGCAGATAACTACCAAACCAAGAGGTCAATCTCTCTATCACCTGCAAAGTGAATGCCCTGCTTTTCTGACTGGATCCCTGTGTCACTCAGTAAACCTTCTTGTATTATGTCCTGTTTTTAATCATTTCATTAATGTCAACGCATTTAAGCTGTATATTAGGATGACTGGATCTCATGTAATCACACTCTTTATATATACTTTTATGAATTTTTATGCTTTCCACTTATAACCTAGGCTCTCTAGCTGTTAGTGTGAATGTCTATTCTGCAAAAATAAAATGTCAATAAAATAAATTATTCACTACTGCATATTCTGGTGCTCTGTGAGAATATAAATAGGACATATTTTACCACATAACCCGCCAAGCCCTTAGGGAAGTAGTGTTGTGACAGAAGGAGGTGTTGGTTTACTGCTTCTGCCAAAACAGAGGGATCCCACAGACTTGTCTTGGACATAAACAGATACGGGAAGAGGTCATTGGTTGGCAGAGGGAGAGCAAAACAGGAAAATCACAAAAGCATGCGATGAAGCTACCTTGTACCAAGAGCAGGAGGCAGCATCCTTAGCAGCACAATTGTTATTGATAGCAGTTCCTGTAAATTTGGTTTTGAGAAACAAAGTGTTTCTGTGAATCAATGGCTCAGTGCATCCCCATGCCCTCCTAATCCATGAAAAAACACCTCAGCCTCACTTTTTCAACTGTTCTCACCTCCCCGATTCCTGTCCTGAGCACGCCGCTCTGCTGCAGCCTAGCACACAAAACTCATCCTGCCCCTGGGATTCAGACCCTGCCCCTGGGATTCAGACCCTGCCCACTCCTCGGGCTCCACTCCCTGGGTGTCTTCCTGCTCCCCAGCGAGGGGCTGTGGCTGGGCAAGCGAACAAAACAGTGGGAAATTCTCACTGGTAATTTATAGCACTGTCACTCCACTTCAAATTTGTCTCTACCAATAACCAAAGCTGAAGCCTTTTCTTCACAGGGGAGATAAACTTGATTTCAAATTAAGTGATTTCCAGATGCTTTGAGCATTCAGCACACATATCAAGTCCTAAAAACAAAAGGAACAACTTCATTAAACTGAGAAGATTTATACTTAGCAATTATTCATTCTGTAGCTGATAGAATAATGTTTTATTTCTCTGTAAAAAAAGCAGAGCATGATAGCAGTACTTGTACACACATTGTACAGTTCTCTCTGGTTTGCAGAAAATGTGAATAATAGAATTTAAAAGAGGCCCTTCTATTTTTTTCATACATTGATTAGTATCTTACTACTCAAGTTGCATCTTTGAACCCAAAGGTGCAGTTGTCAGAGAAGGGCTCTAATCAGTATGATGAAAAGTTACAGAATCCCTGTTTTCACACAGAAAAAAAAAACCACCAAAAAAGAGTATGTTCCACTCCAGCATTTAGGCTCAGAGAGCAGGCAAGTTACTCATGTAGTTATGGTGTGAGCTGGTGATTTACAGGAATGGGATACTTAGGTATTGTACAGATGTGTTAAAGACTAGAAAGAGGACTGGAAGAAAGCAAATGTCAATCCTATCTTCAAGAAGGAAGATTTGGGGAATAACGGGCTGGTCAGTCACACATCAGTCCTTGGGAAGGTGATGGAACAAATGCTTCTGGAAGCCGTTTCCAAACATACGAAGGACAAGAAAGTGATTGGAAGTAATCACAATGAATTAATGAAGGGAAAATGATGCCTGACCAGCCTAGCACTTCTACAAAAAAAATGACTAGCTTGGTGGATGAAGGCAGAGCAACACTTATTGTCCAGCAAGGCTTTTGTCATGGCCTTCCACAACAACCTCACAGACAAATGAGGAGGCATGGACTAGATAAGTGAAGGGTAAGGCCAGTCAAAAACTGGCTCAAGTGCTGGGCTTACAGGGTTGGGGTCAGCACCACAAAGCCCAGCTGGAGGCCAGTCTCTAGTGGTGTAACCAAGGGGAAAATACCAGGGCCAATACTGAATTATTATCGCAGGGATGCGACGAGGAAGGCCAAGGCCCACCTGGAATTGAAGCTGGCAAGGGATGTCAAAAACAACAAGAAGGGCTTCTTCAACTACATCAGCAGCAAAAGAAAGGCTAGGGACAATGTGGGGCCGCTGCTGAATGAGGCGGGTGTCCTGGTGATGGAGGATGCGGAGAAGGCAGAGCTACTGAATGCCTTCTTTGCTTCAGTCTTCAGTGCTAAGACTGGCCCTCAGGAATCCCAGGCCCCGGAGGTAAGAGAAGAAGCCTACAGAGAGGACGACTTTCCCTTGGTCGAGGAGGACTGTGTGAGGGATCGCTTAAGCGATCTGGATGAATGTTGTTGCTGAGCCACTCTCCATCATCTTTGAGAGGTCCTGGAGGACAGGAGAGGTACCCGAGGACTGGAGAAAGGCCAATGTCACTCCAATCTTCAAAAAGGGCAAGAGGGACGACCCAGAGAGCGACCGGGCGGTCCGCCTCACCTCCATCCCAGGAAAGGTGATGGAGCAACTTAGCCTGGAGGCCATCATCAAGCAAGTGGAAGAAAAGAAGGTTATCAGGAGTAGTCAGCATGGATTCACCAAGGGGAAATCATGCCTGACCAATCTAATAGCTTTCTACGATGACATGACTGGCTGGGTAGACGAAGGGAGAGCTGTGGATGTTATCTACCTTGACTTCAGCAAGGCTTTCGACACAGTCTCCCATGATATCCTCCTAGGGAAGCTGAGGAAGTGTGGGCTGGATGAGTGGTCAGTGAAGTGGATAGAGAACTGGCTGAATGGCAGAACTCAGAGGGTTGTCATCAGCGGCGCTGAGTCTAGTTGGAGGCTGGTGACAAGTGGTGTCCCTCAGGGGTCAGTACTGGGCCCAGTCTTGTTTAACTTCTTCATCAACGACCTGGATGAAGAGTTAGAATGTACCCTCAGCAAGTTTGCTGATGACACCAAACTGGGAGGTGTGGTAGATACACTAGCAGGCTGTGCTGCCATTCAGCGTGACCTGGATAGGCTGGGGAGGTGGGCAGAGAGGAACCTGATGAGGTTCAACAAGGGCAAGTGCAGGGTCCTGCACCTGGGGAGGAACAACCTCATGCACCAGTACAGGCTTGGGGTGGACCTGCTGGAGAGCAGCTCTGCGGAGAGGGACCTGGGTGTCCTGGTGGACGACAGGTTAACCATGAGCCAGCAGTGTGCCCTGGCTGCCAAGAAGGCCAATGGGATCCTGGGGTGCATCAAGAAGAGTGTGGCCAGCAGGACGAGGGAGGTTCTCCTTCCCCTCTACACTGCCCTGGTGAGGCCCGATCTGGAGTACTGTGTCCAGTTCTGGGCTCCCCAGTTCAAGAAAGATGAAGAGCTACTGGAGAGAGTCCAGCGGAGGGCTATGAGGATGATGAGGGGACTGGAACATCTCCCCTACGAGGAGAGGCTGAGGGAGCTGGGCTTGTTCAGCCTGACCTGGAGAAGGCTGCAAGGGGACCTAATAAATGCTTATAAATATCTGAAGGGTGGGTGTCAGGAGGATGGGGCCAAGCTCTTTTCAGTGGTGCCCAGTGACAGGACAAGGGGCAATGGGCACAAACTGAGGCACAGGAAGTTCCGTCTGAACATGAGGAAGAACTTCTTCCCTCTGAGGGTGACGGAGCACTGGAACAGGCTGCCCAGGGAGGTTGTGGAATCTCCTTCTCTGGAGATATTCAAGACCCACCTGGACAAGGTCCTGTGCAGCCTGCTGTAGGTGACCCTGCTTCGGCAGGACGGTTGGACTAGATGACCCACAGAGGTCCCTTCCAACCCCTACTATTCTGTGATTCTGTACACTGGCATATTTATTCATGGCCTGGACAATAGAACAGAGTGCACCCTTGAGAAGTTTGTAGACAACACAAAATTGGGAGGAGTGGTTGACGCACAAGATGGCTG